CCTTTCAATGACAAAATTGACGAGATAGTGCTGCTAATGATGATAGTAATGGTAATGACATTGAAGTCTTTTGGTGGGTCTCGGGATAGAAGCGTTGTGAACTTTCAATTAACCCAGTTGATGGAAGATCCCATCATTACGATACACGTATGTCGCCATCGGGTCTCTTTTGTTGATTTCCTTTACGTGCATACTTAAGCAGTTAACGTCGAAGAGTAAAGCAGGCGATGAGATGGTGCATGGACAACCTACCTAACGCGACTGATAATCCCCTCTTGGATCCTATGGTAAGATGCTTGAATTTCGGTGAAAAAGGGCTTGAAAAGGTCAAGAAAAATGTAAGAGCAACATGTTCTTTTATATATATTGTTTTGAATCTTTGAAGTGTGCAGGAGTTGTCCCAATTAATCAACACAATTTTCTTTTACAATTTAGGGGCAGAGTGCATAAGCCTAACTATTTGGAGACCCACGGCGCACCTTGCAAAACTTATGAATTGGTCAAGTTCAGAGCTTTAGTCTGCGTAGGTGATATACACCCAGAGTTGTTTTCACGTAACTTTTGCGATTTGGACAGATAACCTACGCCTTTCGAACTAGAGTTGACATCTTTAAGGCTTTGAACGAACGATCTCCCCCTACGTAGGCCTTGTGAAGCTCTAACACGGGTCCCAACATTAGTGGCGGCAGGACTGCTGAGCGTACATTTGGCTGGCGACAAAAGTGCCAGATGGCGCTTGTCCATTGACCGTTTTTAATTTTAGACTCAACAATATGATCAAATTTTGACTCGCCGAACTTTTTTAACCAACATTCGACCGACCCAATTTTTCACCCATAGAAAGCTTGGGATCTAACTTTCCAAAAAATGTACTCCAATCAGAAAAATTCCCTGTCTCTAGGATTTGAGCTAGACGGACGGTGATAGTGAAAAGTCAAACATCATCCTCCTTGTGAATCCAATCAATGCAAATTTCGGTGCATTGAAAAGCTCATGAGTTTATCTTTATATAAAAAACATTTGATCGGGAAAAATCACAAACTTTTCGACACCACCAAGATCAGATAGCCAATATTAATAGATGAGATATTTTGTGATCCGGCAATTGAACTTAGACAACTCGCGGATCGTCACAAAGCCTTTTGATAAATATAGCCCAATTATGCCACTCGACCAAATCATCGAAAGAAATTGGTATGAGGTAACCCGATCAAACTTTCGAGAATTTTTAGTAGAAAATGAGTTGTCAATAACTATAAGCATGAAGCAAAATCTCTCCTTCTTGCTAAGTATCTTTAAGCTTTATGCTCTCTTTTCCGTTGAAACTAGTATACAATACTTAAGTGGGATTTTTTTTGGGGGCAACACTTAAGTAATTTGATATTAGCATTCTGCTAGAGTAAACATAAAATCGCTTGTGTAAAATAAAATCTTGTTTCCTTTGATGTCATTCATAAAATATTTGTTTTACCAAGTGAAAATCAAAAGCCTTCATCTAGTAATTCGATGAAACTCATCGCTCTACGTTAGATTTCATATTCTGAATCCGACATTCATCGTATCGTAAAGTATTCGTCATTATCTCGTAAATGGAAGAAAGACAAAAGAACCCTCTTTGAGCAAATATATATCGTACCTATCGATCATTGCTCAGGAGAAAAATCCAAGGTAATATTAAGATCTCCTCCCCAATCGAGCAAATAATTTGTTGTAACTTCAGCTCCTAAAGAAATTCCATACACCCTCCAAAAGCGAAGTCGCACTTGTCAATCAATCTTTTTCTATCGTCGCCTTTCAGGCAGCCCGACGCATGATGACACTTGAGGCTGCAGGGACGACACGTGTCGTAGCTGGGGTAGCTGAGGGACACTATTCAAACCATTGCCATGCTGCTCTTGCATTTTTTCACCGAAATTAAAAGAACATGTTGCTCTTGCATTTTTTGACCTTTCAAGCCCATTTTCACCGAAATTCAAGCAATATATAATTGTTTTGAATCTTTCGATACGTAGGATTTATCCCAATTAATTAACACATTATTTTTTACAACTCAGGGGCACTAGTGCATGAGCTTCACTATTTGGAGACCCACGGCGCACCTTACAAACCTTATGAATTGGTCAAGTTCATAGCTTTAGTCTGCGTATGTGGTATACACCTAGAGTTATTATCACATAACTTTTGCGATTTGGACAAATAACCTGTGCCTTCCGAACTAGAGTTGACATCTTTAAGGCTCTGACGATCTCCCCCTGTGCAGGCCTTGAGAAGCTCTAGCATGGGTCCTAATATTAATGGCGACGGGACTGCTGAGCACACATTTGGCTAGCGCCGAAAGTGCTTGTCCATTGACCATGTTTAATTTTAGACTCGATGATTTGATCAAATTTTGATTTGCCAAACTTTTATGACCAACGTTCAACCGACCCAATTTTTCACCTATAGAAAGCTTGGGATCTAACATTTCCAAAAATGTACTTCGATCAGAAAAATTCCTTGTCTCTAGGATTTGAGCTAGACGGACGGTGATAGCGAAATTTTGAACATCATCCTCCTTGTGATTCCAATCAATGCAAATTTCGGTGCATTGAAAAGCTCATGAGTTTATCTTTACATAAAAAACATTTGAACGGGAAAAATCATAAACTTTTCGACACCACTAAAATCATATGGCTAGTATCAATAGATGAGATATTCTAAGATCCGATAATTGAACTTAGATAGCTTGTGGATCGTCAAAACGCCTTTTAATAAATACAGCCCAATTATGCCACTTGACAAAATTATCGAAAGAAATTGGTATAAGGTAACCTGATCAAACTTTCGAGAATTTTTAGTAGAAAATGAGGTGTCTATAACTATAAGCAGGGAGCAAAATTTCTCCTTCTTGCGAGGTTTCTTTAAGCTTTATGCTCTCTTTTATGTTGAAACTAGTATACAACACTAAAGTGATATGATATTTAGCATTCTGCTGGAGTAACATAAATTCGCTTGTGTAACACAAAATCTCATTTCCTTTAAAGATATTCATAGAAAACATTTTGGAATTGTTTTATCAAGTGAATATCAAAAGCCTTCAACTATAGATTCGATGAAATTCACCACTATATATTAAGTTTTATATTTTAAATTGGACATTAATTATATCGTGAAGTAACCGTCGTTATCTTGTAAATAGAAGAAAAACAAAAGAATCCTCTTTTGAGAAAATATATATCGTACCTATCTATCATTGGTCGAGGGAAAAATCCAAAAGTATGATTAAGATCTCCCCCCCAATCGAGCAAATAACCAGTTGTAATTTCAGCTCCCGAAGAAATTTCGGACACCCTCGCACGAAGGCGAAGTTGCACTTGTCAATCAATCTTTTTCTATCATCACCTTTCAGGCAACCAGACACATGATGACACTTGAGGCTGCAGGGACGCCACGTGTCGTAGCTGGGGGCAGCTGAGGGACACAATTCAAACCATTACCTTGCCGCCACGTGTGAGGATGAGAAGGAACTCGATAATGTCAGACCAAGTCTGTTCATTTGAAGGGTTATAAACCGCATCGGGAATCGTGATCAAGCCCAAAGCTTCACGGGATGATAATCGTCTCGTGTCGTGTGTTCTTTGGGAACAAAATCGGTGGTGATTAACTAGTTTCTAGTGAATAGTTGCACCTACACTCATTAATGAAGAAAGATGAATTTGCGATTGATTGTGGATATCAATCGCAATGATATTACGTGTACGTGTAGCATTTAAGCAAAGGAAAATCGCATTCGATTTTTTTGATGGAATCTTGAGTTTTTGCTATTATATTGGTCACATTTGTCAAATTACAAGATCCCATTTTTTTTCATTTCCTCGCGCACGCGTGGACCATGACACAATTACTTGCGAAGCACACCGCAAGCTTATGATGTACTTAGGCGTCTCGGCCGCGTCTCGATCCCGGTGTAGCTGAACATCCTCTCGGACCGGCTACTGATCATCTCATTAAGTTATTGGCTTATCAACTGGCTAATTAGACGCGAACCACTCCTAGAGTGGATTCCTTGTTTTGCTCCTCGGCCTACGGGGTATTAACGGCCATTTTCAGCTGTCAATCCCCTCCCATGGGCAGGTTCTTATGCGTTACTTTCTTCTTCTTTATTTTATCGTCTCAATTAAAGTTCTTACGAATATTCTCTTTTCTTTTCGAAGGTTCGAAGAGAAAGCAATTAAATAGTTTTCAAAGCCCATAAAATCAGACTTGCTATAAATTCTTTTGGATGATTTTTTAGTAATTTTTTTCTTCAAATAGACCTTCTTGCTGGCAATAGGTGTGATAAAAATCCACTAAATCTATCTTGAAAAAGGAAAGCCAATGGTAATGATCATCATGAACCTACCCAATTTGATTAAATCGTGGAATTCTTTCCTTTGCTTTTGCATTCCACGAAAACCTTATCATGATAATAAGCCTCTATAGGAGGGGTGTATTACTTAGAACACCGTCCTCTCGAATACAAGGCTCGAAGCCACAGGCAAATCAAAATCAACGACTACTAATTATTGAAATCCACTTGCACTGTTGGGTTGACCCACAATTTTTCCAAGCAAATGCGATGCTTATCGATGGGAAAATAATAATAATAATAAGATGCCTTTCTCAATTATGCAGGAGCAGCGACAAAAATGCCAATTCCATATCGAATTGAATATTTGCAAAACGTTATGTAAACCCTAGCATTTATACTTCTCAGCACGCACGGGAAATCTATCGTGGGGTCGACAGGGTTCCAAAACAAGGATGCTCGTTCGATTCAAGCCCGAGAAAACTACGTGGCGTTCAAATCCAACCACGAACACCCCCCCGAAACAAACGCACTAGATTCTCGTGTCACGTAAGTGTCACTGCATGGCCCAACGCATACTGGAGAAATCAAACCCTGACGCTTTCAAACTCGCAGGGTACGTAAGTACCACAACCCGCGTACTCTCCCCCTATATAAGTCGAACCCCCCGCGAGACCCTATCTCACCAATTTCCTAATCATAGAACAGACCATACTTCCTTCCAAAAAACCCCGGTAGAGCCTTCGATATGGATAAGATGATGGTGCGCCAACTTGTTCTTTGCGCCTGTGTCCTGCTCTCTTGTTCATTCGGGTTTGTTGTTGTGCATGGCGCCCCGGTGGCGCCTTGCATTTGGACCCCATTCCCCGAGACGTGCCACTATTTCGTTGGCGCCGAATTGCTGTCGGACCTTGACCAGACCGAGTTTTCTTTCCGTGACGTGGCCCTCAAGGTCGCTATGAGCGAAGCCCTGCGAGCTCATGAGCTGGTGTCCTCCATGGACCTGAGCTCCTTTGATGAGCGAGCTAGGTTGGCTTGGTCCGACTGCGTCGAGCTCTATGAGGAGTCGGTGCAGTTGCTCAATCGCTCCGTGAGCTCTAAAAACCCTAGCGACTCTCAAACGTGGCTAAGCGCTACGATCACAAACCACCAGACTTGCCAAAATGGGTTTAAGGAGTTCAATTTAGCGTCTCACTTAGAATCCTTCCCTTCAATGTTGAGCAACTTCTCTAAGTTGCTCAGTAACTCCCTAGCAATAAATAAGGTCTCGTCTTCTTCTTATTCATCGGCTAGGGTTTCGTTTAGTAAACAAGTCAGGGGTAGACGGTTGCTCGGCGATCATGAAAAGTTTCCATCGTGGGTTTCGGCCTCCGATCGGAAGCTTCTTCAAACGACTGGAGCACCGGCCAAAGCTGACCTTGTAGTGGCAAAAGATGGCTCGGGGAACTATAAGACTATTTCGGAGGCGGTGGCGGCATTGTCTAGTAAGGGAAGTGGGAGTTCGAGATTCGTTATATATGTTAAAGCAGGTGTATATAGTGAGAATGTGGTGGTTGCTAGGTCCAAGAAGAATCTGATGATCGTTGGCGATGGGATCGACTCGACTATCGTTACTGGCAACAAGAATGCTAAAGATGGTTCGACAACTTTCAGGTCCGCAACTTTTGGTAAGTTACATTGTCAAACTCGATTATCTCAAAGTTCTCTAAGTCATAATTCGTGAGGATTGAGTTAGCTAAATTGAAGATAAACAATTTGTACACGAAAAATATAAGAAACACGTATGTACGGACATGAACAATCACGTAAACAGTACCCTATTACGTATATCATTTTCGATGATTGAAAAGCGTTCTCGACTTATCGTCTATTTCAAGATCGTGACAGACAACTACTGTACACTCGTGCGAATTCTCTCTTCACCCTTAGTTAATTAATATAATTTGCTTAGTTACACTTGTCAGATATCAATTTAGTTAACAAGTAGAAGTCATGGCCCCTTAAGATGAGACAGCCTTTGACAACCGGATTTAACCCCCTTTCCATGTAACATAGTCGTTTTCTAGTTGTTTTTAGTACGACCGATATGTGGCGTCTGAACTGAAAACTATCCATGCCCCATGTTTTATATCAAACAAAGAATTACAATGATTTAACAATAATCAAAGAACGAACTGTCCCATTCAAAAAGCTCATAGTTTCCGAGGGAACCAATATGAGCCAACTTCATGTTATTTATACCAAGGGACAAACAAAAACTCCAAAAATGTGGATTCTAAGATTTGCAAAATGAACAACCTAAAATTGAAGTTACATAACATTTTCAAGAACCTTAAACAAACCAAATACCTGTTAAGTATAGATACATACATACAAGTCAAAAGTTGTGTATAATACTTGTATTTTGCTCGCTGAAAATAATGATACTCTTTCTTCCAGCTGTTATGGGCGACGGATTCATAGCACGGGACATAACCTTCGAGAACACGGCTGGGCCGCAGAAACACCAAGCTGTGGCGCTCCGCTCCGGCTCGGATTTTTCGGTCTTCTACGCTTGCAGCTTCAAGGGCTATCAAGACACCTTGTATGTCTACTCTAAACGCCAGTTCTACCGTGACTGCGACGTCTATGGGACTGTAGACTTCATCTTTGGGGATGCCGTGGCCGTCCTCCAGAATTGCAACCTCTACATAAGGAAACCAATGAGCGGCCAGCAGAACACAGTCACGGCCCAAGGGAGGACTGACGCGAGCGAGAACACAGGCATCGTTGTCCACAACTCTCGCGTCACGGCGTCCTCGGACATGAAGCCCGTGCAAGGCTCGTTCAAGAACTACCTCGGACGGCCTTGGCAGAAGTACTCGAGGACCGTGTTCATGAAGACCTTCTTGGATGGCCTGATTGCCCCTCAGGGCTGGGCTCCGTGGAGCGGTAGTTTCGCTTTGAGCACTCTTTACTATGGCGAGTACATGAACACCGGCGGCGGCGCGGGTACCGGCGGGAGAGTGAATTGGCCTGGGTATCACGCGGCGATGAGCGCGACGGAGGCCGCAAAGTTCACAGTTGGGAACTTCTTGGCTGGAAACTCGTGGATCCCAGCAACCGGAGTGCCGTTCTCAGCCGGGCTGTGAGATAATGTCGTGGGGATGCTTTTCTTTTAGGTCTTTTTGCATACTCCAAAGGAAGGAATAGTGGGTATGTGTCAAATATATGTGTAAATCTGATAGGGACATTCACCATCAAGTTGTGAAAATGTGGATCGTCCTGTACTTTTGTGTATGGTCTTGTTGTGATTATAATGTAAGGGGAAGATGCTTTTGGTTGTATTCACTTTGTCAATCCCGCGAGGACAAATGAAATACTCCAAAGGGTGTACGCGTTTGATCTTTTGCATTTTCGCATTTTCAAAGGGGTTGTCCCTTTCGTCCTCTTATAGTTTCTTTTTGTTTGAGTCGTCCTTTTTTTCTAGGGTTAACGTTACTTTCACTTTAAGACTCTAAACTTCATGCAAGTTTGCATATAGCAAGTTGGAGATTTAAAAAATTACTTTCCCAAAAACTTAAAGTTAACCGTTCAAATTTCACCAACCAACCGCGCGCAAAGTGTTACAAATCGTGGCTATCTACTAGGGGTGTGCAAAAAACCCGATACCCGCCCAACCCGCCCAGGACCGCCCGGAACCGGACCAGGACCGGTGGGTTCTAAGGGTTTCGGTCCGGTTCCCGGTTCCAATTTTTTGGAACCGGTGGGTACCGGTCCGGTTCCCGGTTCCGGATATGGAACCGCCCACCCGCCCACCCGGACCGGACCGGTATAATATATATAATATAATAATTTTTAGTTTTTCGTTCTGAGTTCTGCATCTGAAGAATTTCTGCGTCTGCTTCTGAAAAATTTCAGCTTCTGCATCTGCTTCTGAAAATTTCTCCGTCTGCGTCTGAATAATTTCAGGTCCGAATAATTTCGCAGTAACTTAGATTATGTGAGTCTTCAATAATGTATTTACCACTTGTAAAGTCCGAAAAACTTCCTTCCGAGCTTCCAAAATATACGTACCTGGAATAAATTAGTTCAGAATAAGTATCAGATTTACAATAACATGGAAGGTTTTGTCAACTTCAAAATCAATAGGAGTTTTCCTCAATAGTCACTCACTGCGCTCGGTCCGGTCCGAACCCATTGGGTCGGTTGGTCTCGGGTTAAACCTGGTACAAAAAATGAAATAAAAAAATTATCGGTTGGTCCCGGGTTGACCCTGGACCGGACCGAACCCATTGGGTCGGTTCGGTCCTCGGTCCTAGGCTCAATAGGGTCGGTCCTCGGTCCCAAAAATTGAGGACCAACACTGTGCGGGTTGGTCCTAGGGTTAGGGGGTGGACCGGCCCAACCCGGACCATGCTCACCCCTACTATCTACACAAATCAAAGATATGGACTGAACCTATTTATGGGCCCTATAAGTTGTTCGTAGACCTCCAAATAGCCGTTTCTCCAAGCTTATGTCCTGAATTATGAACAAGGGAAAGAGATTATGAGGCACGATGATCCGGAATCAATACAAAAGACTCGTTCTTCTTATTATTAAGCTCATGGATATTCGATAGTGGAGAAAAAAGGTTTGCATGAGCATAGTCATTATAGAGCCAGAGTTTAGAGATTCTGTCATTGAAACTAATTAATTCTACGTGGGTCTTGCTATCGGTGGTACCTATAAATTTATATATATATTCCATGGCAAAATGAGTCTCTTTGGGTAAAGCTTTTACTTTTTATTTCGCACAACTTTTCGAGAAAAATCTTCTCATATACACGAAATTACATAAAAATCAAGTTAATAAAATGTGTCTCCTGTTACTTTTCCTGTTGGAAGAAGTTTTAGCGGGTAACGCGACTATTGGTTTAGATAAGTCGTTAATTGCTATAGCCAAGACAAGGAGCGGCAATGCATCTGAGTTACAATGCCTTTTAAGTCGGGTGGGATATTTCCCAAAAGTCATCGAGGTGTTATAGCCGTGCAGAATCAGATATTACAGTCGTGAAATATTTATCAGACACTTCCGTTAAAGTATCACATATCATTTGCTTATGGAGTTTATATGTTATTTATATAAATGTGGCCGCCCTACATCTATTAATAATTTTCGGATTAGACATTCTAAACGACTTTCAAGCTGGGGTTCGAAATAGCAAGAAACACCCTCTAGGATCTATGTGGGACAGCACCATTCCAAGCCACACGATCCACTTATACAGCTCTGGATGGATATCTCTTTTCTAATGAACTAATCATACTTCTGCTTACGTTCGTGACTTCATAGAAATTTAGTTAATTCATTCGAGGGCCGCCATAGATCCTGGACCCCTTACTTAAAGATTGCTCGGCTCTCTCGGGCCTCAAATCTTTGGTTTGACGGGCACCCACCATCCATACAATTCAATTCGTATCTGCTAATGTGAACATCGACTTTACGAGCACTAAGGACTTGGATAAGCAAAAGATAAGGACGAATGGTTCTGCTGATTTTCCTTGCGTTCCGCTTGTGCTTGCGCATATCATTCTCAAAATAATTTAAGCATGTCGACCTCACCAAGATAAGCTTTTGACTAAAGGCTTATGTTTGAAAATTGGCGGCACTTAATTTCAAAATCAGAGACCCACGATTCATTAATCGATTCATTGGAACTTATCTTAAACTGATACAATTCATTTTCCAAATCGTGAACTGTCCTTTAGACTCCATCCGCTTAACGATCCCGTGACTGACTGATAAGGACTCTGGCATCGGAAGTCATAGACTTCACAGGCATTAATTTTGCATGATATGGTCAACTTGACCGTTCTTGTTTCGTTAGAAAAGGCCAGTAAATTTGAAGCTGAACAGGGAGACATCCATAGGCTTTGAGCGAGCAATACGCGTTCGAATAAATGTTAATGACCCGAACTGAACTGCCTTTTGCCACCAATGATTCATTGAGCCTCCAGGTGAATTTGAGAGAACCAAAGAGAACGCCCGACCGACCAACAAAACAAAAGAGGATACAGCAAGCTATACTTCACGATCGTTGCTTTTGTCCCAAGCCTAGCACTGGTTCCACAATTTTGTTGCTCGGCCCTTGAGATTATTCGAATGCAGGAAGGAGAACAAAGCTTGCATTATCTGGCACGACTCGCAGTTTTCCAATGATAAGGGGCAAGCACCGAAAGGAACTGAGAAATTGACCTCCTGCCAATCACATCAAACTCTAAAGTGGCCAATATAAAACTCCTTAAGGCTGAGAAATTGACCACCCACCAAATTCGTTACTTCGGCCCTTGCGACTATTCCAAGCATCTTGCAGTAGTGTCGTCGAAAAACCTCGATGTCATACCTGCAATGGGACCATGCCAGTTTGCAGCTTGACCTGCAGACTAAGTTGCCTAAAGGGAATCTTTCATTCAGGCCCCAAATATAAAGTACACTGGAACTATATTACGACAAAAATATGCCTCTTAGTCTTATGGAAGAGAGACTCCAGCACAACAGATTCGGTATACGCAGCTCGATTAGCATCCACCAAGGACGCAACTGTACTTACAATAAGACTGAATAGCACATATTATTTCAAGAACTTATTGTTAAAAGATAAAAGATAATAGAGAGATCGAGTTGTGCCTCTCATGAAGTCTACCATATGAAACAAACTTGTGAAAGGTCTAGCAAGGTTGCCAACTGTTTAGAGAACTCTTTCATATTCGTTGGGTCGGCTCTTCCTGTCATTTAGTCAGCATCCCCATCATGTGATGACAGTGGGAGCAGATCGGCCAGTAAATTCCTCCATCTTGGAGAGTTTGAGTGCGACATCCACCTGCAACAAAGCATAAACATCAGCCCAGATAAAATCTGAAAAAGCCTGGGTGAGGAATATGCGGGTCTACTCACCAGAGGAGCTAAAGCTTCTTGAGAATCTCTCCCAGTTTTCGAGGGATCCTTCTCATATTGCTCAATGTAAAGACGAATTGTTGCCCCTTCTGAGCCGGTTCCTGAGAGGCGGAAAACCTGCAAAGTACATATAGGAGGAATCATTCTAAAAGCCAATAACGTTGTTTCACAATTTACCCATAATTTTGACATGACACTGTGTTCTTCCACCTACACATCAAGTAAGATCACAAATGATACTAATGCAAACAAGTATAAGTTGAGCATTGACTATGCAACAAATATACTAGTTCCACTAAAGAAGATCTGAAAAGTTTATGCTTCTATTAACAAACTTATTATTCCAACTAAAGAAAAGAAATCACTGTATGATTGAAGAATCACAGCCTTCATTCTTCCTATGGTTAAAATGAACACGAGCTAAAAGTAAAACTATAGAACCATAGTTGAAACATAAACACAGGAGAATATTATGCCACGAAGTCCCAGAAGATATACCGTATAAAGAGACTGACGACAAGATTGTCAAGCAATAGCCTTCGAAACTTTAGCATTGCTTAGATACTTAGCAATAACAAATCATATTGATGAGCTTTCAACAAAAAGTTCAGTCAAGACATATTAATCATGCTGAAGTTCTTTATGGAGTAACCTCTGAAGCAAAGCACAAAGATCTACTCACCAGGCGCGACCCATCTTCAAACAAATATCGAACACCCTGGTGCTTCGATATAGAACCATCAACAGGATCTTTGTATTCAAACTCATCAGCATGAACAACACTTGATACATCCGAATGTACTCCCTTGACAATCCTGCCAAAGCAAAGAATTGCAGACATTGTCTTACACCATTTTCCCATGAGTGTAAAATTTTCTTGGTGTACCAATAGAACAGTGCGACTTCAGCCACAGTACACCGTATGAAATGATTAAATTTTGCAAATTCCGAAATCCAATTGTCAATCCTTGTGGAAGCAATTTTACCTTCCAAGCAAATAACATTGAAGAAAGGCCTATCATTCAATGGCTTTCTCGAAGTGAAGGACAGTCCCTTGGACATGAAGTGGGAACTTTGATCGGCCAAAACTTTTCTATAATTGCAATATGTAGAGTGTAGAAGTTTAACCTTTATCGTTCTGTTTCTCACACACATTAAGTTCTCACATATACTAACACAGAATATCATTATCTACTATTTTAGTTCCTTGAAATTTAAGAATAAGGCCATCAAAACGGAACTGTAGCTTTAATGGGAAACAGAGAAGAAAATGCATGAACACGATCACACGAGGAACATCAAAAACCACCATCAACTATACATGCTAATCGCTTCACAACATCTAAGCGGCAAAAATGATCCATAGATGCCCCTACTTGACTTACGCAGGCAGTTCGAGCTTAAGGAAATTCATGTACATAAAGGAAAATGAAGTGTGCATAAAATCGCATTAGACACAATACACAGAATCTCGAAATCAGAGCAGAATCTTACTCATTAACTTCAGCAAGGGAAGATTGCAACTGGACCAAGTTTGCCATTAGTTCCTTTGCAGCCCCTGAGTCAACATTCTTCAAGAAAACAGTGAAATTTAGTATCTAATAGACTAAATGCGATGGTTCAAAGGAAAGAATAAGAGGCGTCTCGAGTAATTGACATATGGATACCTCATAATCATAACGAGTGTAATAGTGGCGACCATAAGTTGCCCAATGCTGGCGAACAATATCTTCGACTGATACAAGCTTTCCACCATGGATATTTTCCTTATTCTTATGGGCAAGGATGGAAAGCCATGCCAAAACAGCCCAGATACCATCTTTTTCACGTATATGATCTGAACCTGTTCACAAATATGCAATGGATTATGCAACAAGTGCCAAAAACAACAAACTTATTCCACTAGGTGGAGTTACAATGTGAATCCTTTAACTTCATCATGCTCACTTCACAAAAGCAATTCATACTCCAAATAAAAAATTGACCACTATTATGAAGTGTGATACAATAAATACTAACCAGTTCCAAAACTTTCTTCCCCACAAACTGAACATAATCCAGCATCCATTAAGTTACCAAAGAATTTCCAGCCAGTTGGAACCTGGAACCACCCATAGAAGGAGAAAACTATATAAATCTCAACTGCTCGTGCCAGAGCACAAATAACTATTTGAGATCTTTTACATGAGTACCTCAAAAAATTTCAAATTTAAATGTTTAGCAACAACATCCAGGGCAGCTGATGTCGGCATGCTCCTACAGGTAGCAAATGCGAAAACACCAATTAATATAACTACAAACAGATCCAGAAGAGAAGATCACTCAAATTGATTAGAAAAGATATCGAGCTTATGGTGACATTCAAGGCAACAGTATAGAAAGAAATACTATTTACAGATAAACTTAAAAGTGTATACGGACACTCTGGATAACGCAGACACTCATACATGAAAAACTGCACACTTACGTAACCTACTGCACGAAATTGTTATTTCTCCATGAAGTATTTATCAGACAAGGATCCTAACTCCAATCGGCTGACAAAAAGATATTTTTTCAGCCAACAACTATACCAACATAGTTTGACCCTGCGCACGCTATCAGAGCAAAAGACCAAGCAATAGTTACATCGATGCCACAATTTTAAGTCACAGACCCTTTTATAAACTATACTCCAAAGTCTTTGGATCATCCAAGTTGCTTCATTCCATACATGTTCCTAGCTTTCGCAAAAGTATGTGGGAACCTTGCCACTTGTGTCTGGCATCGGTCAGAAAAACACAAGCTAAGATATTTTGGCATCTTGTTCTCATGAGATTCTGTCTGTGAAGGCCCATACACCTCCATGCCAAGTGGCCAGGCAAGCAAATATGTAATTGATTGTCCGAAAGGAAGTTTCCTTTGTGTTCTTGGACTTCCATGTAGACATGGCCACTGGCCAGTTTTGGCCCGGAACCGGCCCGGGTCAAACCCGGGACCGGCCCGTTGACCGGGCCCGCGGTTCGGAACCGGAACCGGCCCGTGGCCTACGGGCCCGGTTCCAAAAAAAAAAAACTACTGCTGCAGCGATTCCTCCTCTCCAGAATCTTCCCCTCCTCCTCCGCCGCAGCAACCCATGGCCCACGCGCTCCCCCTGCAGACCAGCAACATCGCCAACACCGCCGCCGCACCGGCGGCGGCGGCGGCGCGCAAGGGCAGGACCGTGGAGGAGACCTACCAGAAGAAGTCCCAGCTCGAGCACATCCTCCTCCGCCCCAACACCTACATCGACTCCGTCGAGAAGCACACCCAGTCGCTGTGGGTCTACGAGGGCGACGAGGTGGTCCACCGCCCCGTCGCCTACGTCCCCGGCCTCTACAAGATCTTCGACGAAATCCTCGTCAACGCCACCGACAACAAGCAGCGGGAGCCTGCAGCCCCACGTTCCAACCCCACCCACACCCACCTCCTCCAGTCCTCCTCCAAATCCCTCCTTCCCCCCTCTCCCCTGCGCCTCCTCCGGTCCTCCCCTTTTCTCCTCCGCCCGCCCCCCGTCTTCCTAGATTTGACCCCCGCCGTCGTCGCCACCGTCGCCCCCGCTCATGGCCGCAGCCGCCGACGCCCCCTCCTCCTCCCCTCTCGCTACCCTGCGCCTCCTCCCCTTTTCTCCTCCTCCTCCCTCGAACCGGCCGGAACCGGAACCGGCCCGGAACCGCCCCCTTGCGGTTCCGGTTCCGGTTCATACATGACCACGAACCGGAACCGGCGGTTCCTGAACCGTGGCCATGTCTACTTCCATGGCATCTCTTAGAATGAACATTTTATGCCACCAAATGAAATATCTGTTAATTTAGTAATTATGTGACTTCATAGGTGAAGATCTTACAACTCTGTAAGAAATAAGTCGCAGAGAAAACATTTTTTAATAGTACTTTGACAACTCATATAACATGGGCAAATTGTATATCTCCAAGATCTCCAATTCCTGTCCCTTGAATAGATACATGACCTTAGCAGTTTAGTTAAAACATAGGAACTAACATCAGGCAAGAACCAACGACAAAAGAAGAAAAAATATTGAAAAATGCTTGCATGCATATATACTGAAGATAGCTAAGTGTTGCACACCTGGCAACTCCCTTTAGGCCACCGGAGAAGTAGGGTATTGCTTCAACAGCATTTGCAGCAATAATAGCAACAGAATCCGATGGAGTAACAAAGAACCTATAGCAAAGGTTTCACACATTAAAGTTCAAAGAAAATAGCAATATAACTAAAGAGAATCTCATGAAACAAGCCAACACTACCTTTTCCCGAGAATCATATTACGATCAGCATCACCATCAGCTGCAGCACCAAATTCTGGTGGCTCATCATGAGGACTTGACTTGCCCAAACCCATCCGTGCTACCAGCTCCTTTGCATATGTCAAATTTGGATCTGGGTGACCTCCTCCAAAATCCTCCTGTACACATTAAACCAAGTCCTGAGTTTAGAGATTTACACAATTCCTTGAGTCATGCTGTGGAAAACAAGTATGCATCAAGACCTTAGGTGTGCAGTTCAATAATGAGCTCTCTTGCGCGCCAAGCTCTTCCACAAATATGCGGTTGGCATACGCTCCAGCAACTCCATGTAGAGCATCATAGCTTTACTTAAAAAGAACATAGGAATACACAGCCCTTAAATAAATGAGCATTAAAGACCATAATCCAGAGACAAGAAAATTGAAGCTTGTCAACCTACCAGAAAGTAAAATTTGGAGATGAAAGCAGCTTTTGGATAGCCTGGAAGTCAAAAATTGACCTAGCTCATCAAACAAGAAAAGAAGATCAAGTGTCATTTATAGGAACAAAAGATGCATAAAAGACAAGGAAAAGAAGCTTTAGGGTGCGTTTGGCAACCATTCTGTTCCCGGAAACTGATTCTACTAAAAAATGATTCTTTATTATTCCGTGCCCGGGAACAATTTCTAAGCATTGAAGGCATTTGGTAATTGCCCAAAATTTCTATTCTTGGAATAGAAAAAGAACAGAAATGCGTTTGGTAACTGCAAAAAATTTCTTTTTATTAATAATATTTTGAATTTTTTAATATTTCAAAAATTGCACACTTATAAATGTGACTTGTCATCATAGGCCAGGAAGAAGAAGAAGAAGAAAAAAAAAAAGAAAAATTTCCATTTCTGATTCTTCTTCCCAGAATCAAGAAGCTACTTTTTTTTGCTTCTTGATTCTGTTCCAAAACTGATTTTGGGAACAAATTTTTGCAAATTTGTGCCCGGGAACAAAAAATTTACCAAACGGATTTCCGTTCCAAACTGATTATGAGAACAAAAGAATAGAAATAGTTACTATTTGGTAACTTGCCAAACGCGCCCTTAAGATTCTCTTTTTTAAGCAACTATATTAGACTTACACATATTAACAGAGATATTGTTGTAGGAACTATCAGGGTAGAAGGCTTCCAGATATAGACAATAAATTACATTTTCCATCCCCTAGTTCCACAAGTTTATATCTGATTCTAAGCTTTCCACTAAATCTATACACAAGCTAATTCTACTCTTCTTTCAGCCAAACAAAAACTACACTCCAATAGTTAATAAGCACAGAATATTACATGGAAAACCTTGATGAATTTCAAGTTACCACTAGAACAGAACCAGTTGTTTAGACCAGTGTAGAAAAAGGCACACTTGAGGCACAAAGTCGCTAAAACAACCGAGTCGAGAGGTGAAAAAGCAAAGCCCTTCACAATAGCACTTTATACATTGAATAAGTTTTCCCTCTCACAACTTGAAGGTACCATGTGACACATGCAAATACTTTTTAAGACGGAGCTAATTGGAAGGCGCTCATGATATAAACAATACCTTTTCCAGCTTGTGAGCAACTAATAACCATGAGTGCAATTCCATTGCACAAATTATACTCCTTTTTATAGTTCTCAGTAGATGCCTCTCAACTAATAAACAATACCTTTTCCAGCTTGTATAGTTCAAAAAGAATACCATGCATGTCCGTTACCCCAATGAAAACAAAATCTGTACCACATGTAACTACACCATGATTTTTCATACACTATCATCATGAGATTGGTGGTAACATACACGAAAATTTATCGTAAGGTGCTTACTCCTTATAGTAAAGATTTCGACATACAAGCATAAGTTGCACACAAGGAAGCTTACTTCATTAATGTAACATAGTCGCTGGCTGAATCAAAAACCTCAACATTGAATTGACCCTCTGGCCCCATAAAGCTCGAGACACCAATTACAGCAATATCCACCTAACAATGCATATTGGGAAATAGTGATAAACAAAGATGACCAAGGACAGATTTTTTGTGAGAGAAAAACAGAAACGCCAAATTTGCAGCCTCGTAAGTCTTACATCAGGGAGACCTTCTGCGATTAGATATTCTTTTATTGTTTTTGTATTTTCATAGATCTTATCAGTGATCGCCTCAGGAGCAGGTCCACCATTTTCCATGTTATACTTGATTCCAAAATCCTGCAAGAAGTGGGAAATAGATTTATGCACCAAGTGTAGAGTGAGTAAATGTAGATCGGTCTTTTTTTGTTTGTCTCCCTCCAACGTCTCATCAGCCAACATTCATAAATGAATTTTATAGTGCATCTTGAAAAATGCCTACTAAAATCTAGTTATTTAACAACGTTTTAGATGACTTTCTCAGAGATAACTTATCCATATCCCTGGCCACATTTTAATTCATTAACTAGATAACTTTTCCACAGCTATATGATCTCTTTGGGACCAAAATTTGAAGACATAAAATCACATTGCTCACATGACCAATAAACTCCTCATAACCAAGAAATTGACGTCTCACGCAGGAAACAACATAAAAATATTAAGAAAGCCCCAGCAGCAACAGATGTGCAGCTCACAAAAAAAAATCATAATAGGAACATAATCAACGGGGTTCAAACAATTGAAGCTATAAAAGAACTAATACACAATGTGATGACAAGTTACAATAACTTATATAAGCCAATATATGGACTATGAAGCCATGACGGCCTTGTCATACATGGTTCACTCCTGCATAGAATAAAGTATCTAGGAATGCTGCTCCTTAATGCTGCTTCACAAATGCTATACCGCATTAGAAGCAGTTTACTATATCAGATATTTCAATGCCCAACATTCCTTTACATCCAGAAGCCATATTAGGCATCAGAATTTTCCAACATCACTAACCAGGTCCAACCTCTCCAATCACAAAATCTTGTAGACATCATCCTAAAACCCCAATAACCTACATGTTAGTGCCACCACAGCATCGATATTGGGATCACCACGAGAGTGTGTTCCTTATAATGGTACGGTCAAAACACTGGTTGAAGTCATGAGAACAGTGGGGGAAACACTGAGTACACTTGACAAATGCTGCCTAATTCAATTTTTGTTTTAACAAATACCGATGACCGTCAATCATAAATCTCCTCCCACCCCAATCCAACCCCAACAACAAAGGAAGCGGTAAGGAATAAGAATTTGCATCAACAGGAACATAACTAGGTTTGATCTACCCAAAAGAAGTTCTCAATCGTTCTACTTAATGGTTTGTTCTTCAGAAGGAAGAAAATCTAAATGATTGAGCTTTGACTGACCTCATGGGGACCACCGGGATTATGACTTGCTGTCAGAATAAATGCTCCTGTAGCCTTGGATCCCTGATGATGGATTGTGTACGCATTTTGTTAGAGAGCACTGCATATCTAGATAATATTGCTGCATTATGAATGCATATGAAAGAGTTATACAATTGGATGCCACCACAGAGAAATAGATAGCTTACATCATGCCCAACTCTTTCACGGATCACAGCCGACACGGCAGGAGTGGAAAGCAATCCATTCTGACCTACCCAGACACGCCTTACTCCATTTGCAGCTGCCATCTTTATTATTATCTATGATTCCAGTAAACATAAACTAAGCAACTTAGTTGATAGAAGGACATCTAATATTAATAAAGAACAAGAATATGCTACAAGTCAGGTGAAAGGACAGTTCATTCCAATACGAAAAGAGCATGCCCTAAGAACTTTTGTATAAGCAAGGTCTGAATATAAAACACAAGATGTGGGTGTAACCACATAAAACATATGAATGAGTAAGTAGGAGCACAATGACAAGAAGTAACAGGTAGAATAGCAAAAAGAGCGACTTGTAGAGACTCGAAGTGCTGACCTAAAATTGTAGCATAATCTTAAACAAGGGAAAGGCCTTTAGGGAATCTCTATTACACGTAAACTGTACTAGAAAAATAACAGCTATTACATGTAGGGCTATACAATAGCACTTATAGCTTTGGTTGCAATGGAGATTTCAAGCTAATATCTAATAATGCAACCAAACAATAGAAAACGTGATAAATCTAAAATCGACCTGTAATTTAATTGGATTAATTGCAGCCAAACACACCAAAACGATATCTGGCTTAATTAGCTAATATTAAGCTACTACCCAAATCCCAAACTTGTTCCTTCCAACCAACCATGTACTCACATTTGGAATAAGCTCGTAGGGAAGTTCATTAAGGCAATAAATCAAGTTATAGTCACCCATCTGATATCCTAAGCAATAGACATAGAAGGAAATAATACACACCTGGATAGCATCCTTAGAGTAATAGCGGCCATCACCAGAAACAACAAGTGTAGCGCCTGCAAAGAAGAAATGTAAGTTCAATAAACTTTGTACTTCACCTGGAAACAAGTTAACAAGGTCAGTTCTTTCATGCATGATCAACAACTAGACGATATAATACGAGTCAATCATTAACTCTACACGCTCTAAGCAACAGAATTCCACAACTTCTAAGCTTTTGAACTTTGCCAGGACTAAATTATTTCACCACAAAGATCTGCATGTAACTTGTGCAGTGATATATGATTTCTTCTGAAAGACAGTTCAGCATCATAGCATTAGTGATATTATGTTTCTATCACACACATGCAACAGGGGAACAGGGAACTGGTCACTATACATTTAGGACTGGGAAAGCGACACTATCTCGGAGAAACAAATGAGCAAACCAATGCACCACAACAGAGAAGGTAATTCCTTACTCATGAGCCATGAAATAGGTTCACACCTCATGCATTGCAAACAAGCAAATGCAGAAGTGATATTCTGGAAAGGACAATGGAAACTAGTATTTCTGCACCTATGATTCACATGCTCTAGGACAGCTCACCAAACAAATATGCCCCCTAAAGTTGAATTCTTAGTCTGCAGTGCAATGGTTCTAAAATTATGCATCTTGATGGAGCAATGATGTGCCTTGACCCAAGGCAGACTAGAAAAAACTGAACAGAGAAAGGTATGAAGGTAGTTACTAATTGAGAATGATCTCAAAAGTCTTCAGTATTTTTCCCTTCAAAAATGCCTCCTTACATCTCTAAGCAATCTTATTGTTCCTTTAAGTTGGGATCAAGATCGTATTGGCTGTGGAAAGAGCCTTTGTTTCTATTCAAATCACTACACTCATGACTAGGATTTCTTCGAGGTATTTACATTGACGTGATATATTCAAAGCATAACTCCTGGTATTTCTTCAACACTTCTCAATCAGAGAACTTCAGCCTAGCTGCAAGCCTCAAGAGGCTCTCATTTAAGCTAAAAAATTAAATGAGCCTAAGACCCTCAGAAACAATGATGCAAGGCAAGTAACTTCTTTGGAAACCCGAGTCAAAAGAGTAAGGACTGAGGTAAAATTGTCTCTTAATCCACTTCGTGTGGGAGAGTGCTCATACCTTGGACTTTCTCAGCTGAAAGGGCATAAAATGTTGATTGCACAAAATTTTCCAAGTAATGGGGCTGTACAAAAACTTTCACCTGGAATAGGCACACCAAAGTCAAATTACTTAGACAAATAGAGCATCACAAGAAAATTTCAAAAATCTTATAGGGTTTCTTCTAAAAGGTCGGATAGTATCGCTAATACTACTCAATGAGATTCTGTAGCATTTAGTGACACTTCTACAAGAGCGACATAATTTAAACTTTAAAGTGTCTTGCAAATTAAAAAAGAACAGGAACTTAAATACAACACGCATGCACAAAAACCTTCACCTGTACAAGCACATGCTACCAAAGAGAAGACAGCGATATGCACACGTATCAAGCCTAGAACCAAATTTAACGCTGTCGGCAATATGCAATGATAAGTCTCTTGAATAGATAAAACTCATCCATTAACAAACAGAGGAAATGCACACCTATTCAACTAATCAAAGGAACGCAACAACATTAGACAAAGGAGGGAAGCAAGAAAGGAACAAAAGGAGGAAGAAAATTAAACCTAAGAATTACTAGTACATATGACGAGAGCTTATCCAAAGAAATGTGGGCAATGATAGGAAACTTTACCCACAGAACAAACTTCCCCTCGAGAACTATCCAACCAAAAAGAGCCCTACATCTTGTAAGAACCTAAGCAGTATCTGTGAGATCTAGAAAGCCTAACGTGCCAAAAAGGGAGGTCCAAATGGCCTCACCTTCAATGGAACCAGGTTACACGCAATCTCCATGTACATGCTCGTCTGATGCAGGATTAAGTCTCTGCCCAGAAATCCAGGCTTTTTCCCGCGAAGTTATCCATTATAGAAAACTAAGCAGTATCGGGCCTTTGGCGCTAAACACTTCATTGTCAAGCAATCACATTCAACTAGATTTTTGTTTCTTCAGGCCAAGTTCCCACATATGTGCACCAAGACTTCAATCCGGCATTCAAAAAACACGTCTAATTCCTCCAATCTCAGCACCACGCCCGACTGTGAGGCGGACCAACGCAAGCATGTCTGCTTAAAGCTCGATCCATGATCCATGGCATTAATCAACAAAACTCGCTCTTGTCACATTCAACTATATTCTTGTCTGTTCAGGCCAAGTTCCCACGTATGTGCACTAACTCTTCAATCCGGCATTCAAAAAAAAAAAAAACATCTAATTCCTCCAACCTCAGCTCCACGCCCAATCGCGAGGCGGACCGACGCAAACACGTCTGCGTAAAGCTCGATCCAATGATCCCGTGGCATTGATCTACAAAACTCGCGCTCGCGCAACAGCTCGTCCTAGAGCTGAAAGCCGCATCGACTCCCGACAACGACACGATCCCAAAAAAAACAGAACGAGCAGCAACAATGCAACCGAGCACGGACAACATCGACAAGGCCCAAAAAAACAGATCGCACAAGCACGCGAACGAGCCCGAATTGCATGCGTACGGACAACAGAGAAACCTGATCCAGCAGAACAGGGGAAACCGACAATCGGAACCGAACGCTCGGAACGCGGAGCGCGAGAGAGAAGAAGAGGAGGAGGAGGAGGAGGAGGAGGAGGGGGGAAGAACCTTCTTGCGGAGGCCAGAGGTGCCGGGCTTCTGGCCATCGAAGGGCGTGGTCACCACTCGCGACACCTCGAACTTCACCATTTTCTTCCGAATTGCTGCCCACGATCACGAAACCAGAGAGAGCAAGATCAGCGCAAGAACGAGGCAACGCTCGATCGAGATCGAGATCGAGATCGAGATCGAGAGATCGAGAGAGCTCAGCTCACCGTAAACAGCGGGCGGATATTGAGATGGCGCAAGGAAAGGTGGTGGAGAAATGAGCGAGGCGAAACAACGAAGTTTGTAACTCTTGTCTGCTCTGCAAATCCTTGGTTTTTCTTTTTATTTATTTATTTACATATATATTTTTATTTTTCGTTTATTTATTTGTTTTCTTTTTCTTTTTCTCTCTGTTTTTTTTTTTTTTGGGAACGGCAGCGCACCGCTGGATCTGGGGAGTTAAAGGAACGATTCCCGCGGCGGATCTTGAAAGAGAGCCCAAACCACGAGCGGATGAGAGGGTCCATCGGCACATGGATAATTATTAAAAAGCAAAAACAAAAATATATATTTATTTATTTATATATATCCCAATGGAATATCCTTTTTTTGTCCGTCTCCTTTTCCATCTTTTTATCCTCCTTTTTCTCCTTTCCTAAAGATATTCGATTTATGCACGGAAAATATTAATCGGCTTATTTCTAAAAGTAAAATACAGATGCAAGTGATTTTTGTGTACTGAAAATACGCCGAATATTACTTCTTTCATCTTTTATATGATTTCCGGTTCTTGATGTAGAACAATCTAACTTTTGAAAGTTTAGTAGTAGACTAGTAGTTAGATCTACGGCTATGGCCTACCTTAATTTTAGGATGATAACTATTCTAGAGTTTGGGTCACTCTCCATCGGTTTATTTGGTGCCACTTCTAATTTCGATTTAAATGTACAATTTCTTTTTCCTCGGAAAAGAAAGTAGTTTACAAAATGACTTCTCTAGCTTTTGAGATTCCTTCTAGAAATATTCTTTACTTCTACCAGGTGGCAAAACTTCAAGAATTTCAAAATTTCTTTGTTTCTATCTCATTGATACTTGCTAGTTATCTAATGGTCCACATTTTCAAGGCATGTATTGACTTTATAGAGGAGATTAACACTGTTTATTTCAATATATACTGTTGATTTTGAAAGATTGATTTTCATGGCAACATCTTATTCTAACGTTATGAGTTCTGAGGCTAGCCTCTTTGCTCTTCCTCCCTCACACTATGATCATGATGCAAGGGATTATCGCCCTCTTCAACAAGGTGATAAGCGTCCTTGAGTTACGGCCGTGGGTGCAACTCATAGATCCTCTTATCGGGAATCCCTTTTGGGATGCAGCGCTTCACAAACTCGATATGAAGCAGCGTCCAAGGATCAGATTTCAGAGTCTCACATGATGAAGTCACGGATGAGCCAACGTCGGGCTTTGAGGATGTCCTGATTATGAAGCTAAGCAAGGAGGAAACGAAAGGATTGGACCTTGGCGTCCGCCTCTAATTATCAAATTGCTGGGTCGAACTGTTAGATACGATTTGCTTCGTAAGAAACTTTTGCAGATTTGGTCCCCAAACGAAGAATTGGTTGTGATTGATTTGGTTAATGATATTTTCATTTGCGAAATTTTCCCTGCTAGAGGACTATCAGTTTGTGCTTAGAGAAGGACCTTGGACGATCTTTCATGAGAAGTTGGCCATCAGAAGTTGATATGCCAATTTCGATCAAGATGAGGCGACAATTCATAGGATCACAGTTTGGGTCAGGCTTTTTTTTTTGGTCGGAAATTTGGGTCAGGTTTCCCAATATCTCTATTGAGTATTTTGGTGAGGATTCTCTCATGCAACTCGGTTTGTTAATTGGAAGACCACCGAGAGCAGATTCTACTACAGTGCTAGCTACTAAGGGGGTGTATGCTCGTCTTTATGTTGAAGTTAGACTTAACACACCCTTAACGGGATGTATGCTCGTCTTTATGTTGAAGTTAGGCTTAGCGCACCCTTAACGCCGTTGATTTTTCTTGAAGGAAAAACTCAGATGTGTGGAGTATGAAGTCATACATCTGATTTGTTTCAAATGTGGTCGTTACGTCCACGGACCATATGATTCTAGGGGCCTGTTTAGTAACGTTTTTGTTCCCAGAAACAATTTCTGTTCAGAAATAATTTTTTCTATTTCTATTCCCTAGACGAGTTTCTAACCAAAAAAACGCGTTTAGTAACTGCACATAATTTCTATTCCCAGAGTAGAAAAAGAATAAAAATGCATTTGGTAGGACACTAAAAATTTCTACTCCTAATTTTTTCATTTTATTATAAATTGTTGGTGGAGACTTAACGATTTATGTTTGGATGAAATTGGACTAAAAATAGAATAAGAATATATTATGATATAGAATTGGATGACCTTAATACAATCATAAAGAAAATTACTCCTTACAGACAAAGGAAATACCGGGTGGTGATCGAGGAAATTGCAGTTTAGGAGACTTAACAATTCATGTTTGGATAAAATTGGACTAAAAATAGAATAACAATATATTATGATATAGAATTTGATGACCTTAATACAATAATAAAGAAAATTACTTCTTATAGACAAAGCAAATATCGGGTGGTGTCGAGGAAATTGCAATTTATGGCGTAGGATTTTAGGATTTGAGGTTAGGGGTTAGGGTTTTAGGATTTCGATTTTGCGATTTAGGGTTTGGGGCTTTAAGTTTTGGATTTTAGGGTTTGGGGATTAGGGTTTAGAGTTTTAGGGATTCGGGTTTTGGGTATTGGGGTTTGGGATTTAGGATATAGGGTTTAGGGTTCGGGGTTTTGAGATTTTACGTTTTAAGATTTAGGGTTTGAAATTACGATTTTAGGGTTTAGGTTTTAGAGTTTCGAGTTTGGAGTTTTGGCGTTTAGGGTTTAGTGTTTCGGGTTTTGGGTTTGGGATTTTAGGGTTTAGGATTTGAGGTTTAGAAGGTTTAGGGTTTGGGTTTAGGGATTGGGGTTTTTGATTTTAGGCTCCATTCGTTTGGCGGAAAATGTTTTCTAAGAAAATATTTTCTGGATTTTTTAGTGTTCGGGGGGCGGAAAATAACTTTCCACGGAAAACATTTTCCCTCCCATGGGCAATTTTGTCTTCACTTTGGGGGAAAATGATTTCCTCTTTTTTTGGGGAAGAGGAAATCATTTTCCCCCAAAGTGAAGGTAAAATTGCCCATGGGAGGGAAAATATTTTCCGTGGGAGAGGAAGTTGATCGCCGGCCACCACCGTCGGTTGCCGGTCGCCGCCGCCGGTCGCCGCCGCTGGTCGCCGTCGCCGATCGCCGCCACCGGTCGCCGGTCACCGTCGATCGTCGGCCGGCGCCGGCCGTCGGTCGCCGGCCACCGCCCGTCGGTCGCCGACCACCGCCCGTCGCCGCCGCCACCCGTCGCCGCCGCCGGCCGTCGGTCGCCGGTCCACCGTCGGTCGTCGGCCGCCGCCGATCACCGTCGGTCGTCGGCCGCCGCCGGCCGTCGGTCGCCGCGCCGGCCGTCGGTCGCCGATCCACCGCCCGCCGGTCCCCACACGCCGCCCGGTCGCCATCGCCGCCCGGCGGTCGTCGATCGCCGGTCCACCGTCGGTCATCGGCCGCCGCCGGTCGCCCGGCCGTCGATCGTCGATCGCCGCCCGCCACCCGTTGCCGCCCGCCACCGCCGACCGCCGCCGGTTGCCGATCGCCGCCCGCCGCCGCCGGTTGCCAATCGCCGAACACCAGAAAATATTTTCCGAAACTTTTTCAGATTTTAGCCGAACACCAGAAAATTGTGTTCTAGGAAAACATTTTTCAGGAAAAATGACTTCCAGGAAAATATTTTCCAAAAGGAGAATATTTTTCGCCAAACGAACAGAGCCTTAGTGTTATGAGTTTTAGGGTTTGAGTATTGAGGTTTAAGATTTTGGGGTTTTGGGTTTGAGGGTTAAGGTTTAGGGTTTTAAAGTTTAGGATTTGGGGTTTAGGATTTAGTATGAGAATATATTGTGAAAGAGAGATAGAGTAGATCTTGTTTCTCTTTTTGTTCCAGAAACAGAAAAGTATATTTTTTTTACTGTTCTTTTTTTTTTTGTTTTAGGAAACAAAAGAACAAAAAAGCAACCCACTCATCGATGGCCGTGTTGGTTTGCGCTCAGTTCCTTTCACGAGAGGTCCTGGTTTCAAAACTTGCCCATCGGTGATTTAAGTGGGGGGTCGTGGCAGTGGGATGCTGCGCTAGCCCCCCTCGAGGACTAGTCGGGCATCACCGCCGGTTTGAGCCTTAGCTCGCCGGCCGTGCGGATACCTCGATTATCAAAAAAAAAAAAAACAAAAAAGCAGAAAAACAGAAACGTTACTAAACAGGCCCTAGATCTAAAAGTGGCAAAACGGCAAAGGAAATTGGTAATGGCAACTTTATGCATGAACATAATAAAACAAGAAGAAGTTCAAAGGGAGCCCCCAACATAAGTTTGGCCCGTGGATGGTTGTGCACAAATCAGAAGGGGCCGAAGACAACAAGCGAAAGAAGCGCCAGCTGATAGTTGTACAGAAGGCGGAGATACAGTTGCTCCGCGGTTCTGCTCTTCGGTGCTACCTCAAGCAAAACTTCCGTGAGGATTTGAATGGTTCTCCTCAGCAAGAGATGCATATTCTGAAGGAGGAAAATGGCGTTAGAACCAAAGATAAAAAGAAAGTCGAAGTTGTTGATTTTGATTACAAAGGGCTTCTTCCACAGAAAACGAGAGTTTGGGACCGTCTCAGCCTCATCAGCAAATAACCAGGGTTGTGATGGGCCTTCCTCCTAAAGACGGTAACAGGGGCTTCCATCAAAGTTCTTCCACTCAAGATAACTTATCCTCATTGTCACTATATTCTTTAAATCCGCTCCTTGACAACACGGTGTTTCCCCTTGTGCATCCCTCTAGTGAAGAGCTCTCTTCAAATTAAAACGTGCTGGTGATTTCGAAGGATGTCCTACAGGCACCACCAAAACCACATGACGATATTAGTAGGTTGGGGTACATCAATTCGACTGTATCAGAGGTTCCGTATTCTCTTGAGGAGACAACTCATCTTATGCCTGATGAGGATATTGATATGGTGAATCCTTCTCTCTTTCAGTTATTTATTTATTTATTTAATGCGGTTCTTAATGTGGAATTGCCGAGCTTCGGGGAGTGAAAAGTTTTTAGTAAAGGCTCGGAACTTGATTCGTTTGCATGGAATTCAAGTTCTTATAATTGTTGAACCGGGAGTGAATGGAGATCAAGCTTCTAAAATAATC